TGGGCCTGAATAGGGACTGGGAGTGGCTGGCTCATTACAGAAGCAGCTTTTCCTCTCCTGGAATTGACACCTCCTCATCGATTATTGGGAGTGGACTACATCCACCCTGATTGAATTGGCCCCGTCAACACTGGTTCTCCACTTACGAAGTAATTCCCTTCTCTCCATGTGTCAGTATATAATGCCTGCATCTGTAACTTTTACTCTATGCATCTGAAGAAGTGAGGATTTTACCCACAAAAGCTTATGCCCAAATAAATGTTAGTCTTTAAGGTGCCACCAGACTCCTTGTTGTTTTTGTAGATACAGACTAACACAGCTACCCCCTGATACTTGACTAAATTAGCTCAACTCACCCACTTGCAGCACAATCCCCGTGAATGAAAAGGAAGGGGGATGGTGGTGGTCATCAGCACTGAGTGCTGCTATTTGGCTAAACTTTTTGGTATAGAGAATTCCATGATGTATGCCATTGTGTTAGATATTTGCATAGTGATACAGCAAATCCTATTGTCCTGCATAAATATGGCAGCAAATGTGCATGAGCTCATGGAAGCCTAAGATGGGAAAGTGTGCATGACTGCACCATAATTCAGATTCTAAGACCAGGAGTGACAGTTCTGCTCAGCTTAGTGACAAATCTGATCTTCTACATGACAGAGGCCATAATGACCCCCACTTCCTTTCCCAAGCCCTCATCCCCTGCAATCTCATTCCTGCCGACTGCTTTTTTATTTTACCTTGTTGCCAAAGGAATACAGGGAATTGCATTTGTCTCACAACAGCACCATCCAGTGAGGTGTTGTGTTAATAACTTGGTATTTTTCACACTCATACAGTATTTCAGGGACTATTTAAATCAGCTTTCTTCATGAAAGGTGCCAGCTGATATTTGGCTGGAAGTTAAATTATTTACATAAATGTACTAAATGCTAATTTTTGGCACTACATGCTATTTGTGCTTAATAGATTTATATGTATATGGGTATTCAGCTCTGCCTTTATTTTTAGTGGAATGGCTATTTTATGCACCTCAATCAATCTGAATCTAACAATTGTAGTCTCGTGATTTTATCCCTTGTACAGATAAAATTAAGGTTGTCTTTATATATTATTTGCTTTTTCTGGATGACAGTATAAGAACAAAAGTATATGCATGTAGGTAGGATTCCAGATCCACAGGAGAACAAAAAGAAGTTGGCAAGCAATAACAGATTCCACACATATTGTCAGGCCTTTTTGAATGTGAGCTTGTGTTCAGTGCAGCATTAACTCAAGGTATAACTTAAGTGTTGCCCCCAATTTGGCTTCCATGCGCACACAAACATCTACTCTAGCTGGAATAGAAGTGCTTTCAACCTTAGCTGGCCTGTCATGGGTTTGGGTGGAAGCTGAAGTGCTGCTGCTTGAACTGGTAATATAATGGGGACAGAGATACTCTGTGTTGCTAATCCAATCACTCTGTAAAGCTCGAGTGTTAGGGCTTGTCTACACTTGGAAATTTACTGAAATAAGAGTGGCCATCTGGGGGCTTACACTGAAATATCTTCACAAATCTTAATGGTGTTGGAGATTTGACTCAACAGTTCTAGTCGTGAGAATGTGAGCAAGATTTCTGTATTTACTGAACCCTGGCACATGTGATTAATTACATAATGCAGTAGGTAGAAATTGCCTTGGTCTTGTTTTTTTCTTGGATGACTTTAAGACTCCTAAAAAAGGTGGAGACCAGCACCACAGAGACTGCAGCCCTCTGTGTAAATTTCTCCATGCTCCAAGGGTTGTATTTAGCTTCCTTGCCCATTTAGTCCCTTGCCATTGTATTGAGACCACCAGCAAGCCTGGTTACTAACATGGTAGTTTTCAGATGGGGATGCTTACCCCTTAGCAATTGAACCCTGACATCTAACTCATCTCTCATAGGTCAACCAACCAACCATCAGATGTCAATTACTTCCACTTTCTCCTGACCTAGGTTAGATTCATACTGTTATTGACAGGCACAAAGATCTGTGCCCCATTGCCAGTTCCTGAGATACTCTGCTACCACTATCAGTTGCAAGGCTCTTTTCTCCCAGACTGCTACACTTATGTCAGATCTCCTCTAATATGCCTGCAATCTCCCTCACCCCACACCAGCTACTTTCTCAGTTACTTTCCATTGGCTAATCCTAGCACCCCTGATGTAGCAGTGTCCAATACATACATAAATAAATAAATAAATAAATGGAACATTACAAAAAAAACCCAAAAAACTAGAAAGTAGGGGATGGGTGAATGCATCCAGATTACAGGGTGATATCACAACCTGTCCTCTTCAGTTCAGCAACAAGACATTAGAGATGCCTGGGTCGGGCCTCACATTTCATGTTAACATTAATGGGTGTTTCACAACCAAATTAACATATATACATTGTTAAAAATATATCAGAGAACATTCTGTCTGCTTTCTCAAGCACTAGCACACTGCTGCTAGAAGAGCAATGTTGAGTCCACTCTTTTGTTCTCAAGAATAAGGCCCTGCACTAATTCTGAAGACCCAAAACGAGAGAATGATTACAAATTGCATGTGTTAAGGGACTGCTAGGCAGAGCTTAGAAAAATCTTTAGAAAATTATACCAAGCTAGGATTTTTGCCCAAATTCAGTTAGGAAGCTACAAGAATTGTCTGTCGGCCATTGTTTAAGGTAATCTAAAGGGGAGGGAGGGATGGGCTTGTATCTTGTAAATGTGGTTTTATTTTTATTTTAATTCTTCATTTTGTACATTATCAAGAGTCTCAAGTATTGTTTTTTTCTTATTTTGCTGGAGGTTTCTGATGGAGGAACTAGAAATGAGGATTTGAAGCTCCCTTGTCTCTTAAATGAAGGGGCAGAGATGTTGAATCGTGTTCTCATTGTTTAGAAGGCATTTGAGTTAAATGGTTTTTAATACCTAATAGTTGAAAATAATCCAGGTAAAAGCCAATTCGTTCCTCAATCAGGTTGCACTTGCTCGGCCTCAGTGATATCACAAGTTCTCCAAAATAGTTCAAAAAGTGTACCAAAGACATTAAAGTTCTTTTTTTTTTACAATGCTATCACCGACAGTAAAAAGATAATCAATACAAACAATTAATTTCAGGGATTCCAAAGCTCTTAAGTGACAGAGCACTGCAGACCAATTTTATGAAAATGTTTTTTTTTTTGTAAGTTTTACAAAGTGTCCTGCTTTCAACCTCCCTCCCTCTGTTGCTTTCTTTTAAAACCAGAAACTCAGATTCTGACAGATTGATATTTTAAAATCTCTAGGAGAGAAGTAGGGGATCAAGATTGTGACAAATGGTAGAGACGCTGATGTACTGTATTATCCACTGTTGACACTGAAGTGGATGATAGGCAGGCCCAAGAGGGCTAACTGAGCCACATACCAAACAGATGGACTAGTCTGTAACTGCCGATGAGGCACAGACTGAACTTTTGCTGTGGGGATGGCAACTGAGCTCTTCAATCAATCATATTGTGTGGCAGGATATAGGTCTATTCATTCTGTAGGAAAGGGGAGAGGAATGACAGTCGGACTATGAGAAGACACACCACTTCCTAGATCAACAGGAAATTGAAGTGTTTTACAAAATGTAACACGTACCATTTCATAAGTTTGCATTCAGCGCTTTCCCTTTACATGGTAAAATTTCCCCACAGCATTAGGTGCAATATGGATTTAAAAATGAAATAAACCTTTTCAGCAGTTTTGCATATATTATGATTACACATTTCACATATTCCTCCCATGACAAACATGCATAAGTATAACCCCGTGGTCCATGTATATTACATGGCATCTTCTGTGCCTGATCCACAGAGGACATGTCTGTAATAGCCTGGCTATTTACCTCAAAATGTAAAAAATCATGTTTATTTGGTGTAAGTTTCACACACAGTGCAGGGATGGAAACGTGTCCCAAATTATTAGACACACTAATGCTAATCCTGCCTGCTCCAAGTTAGTGCAATGCTAATTATTTAAGTTGAATGACTTAAGTTATTATATTTTTCCTGAAAGATAAAGACATACCTAACATAAGCAATTCCTTGATCTTTTGTCACCCTCACCTCTTGCAGAAGAAACAAATCACTGAATTTAGGTGTGGGGCAAGTAAATCTGTTTACTTTTAAAATGTACTACTTTGCAATTTGAAGGCTACATATGCATTCTGTTAATGATTTAGGATTTCAACCCATCCTCTTCTCTCCCAACTATTTATTTAAAAGGCAATTCAGCTGATCTTTAAAAAAAAAAGATCAGTTACTCCTCATCTTTTACATTCATGGTTTGCATTTTCCATTTTCACTCAGTTTGGATAATGAAACTAGACTGGTCTGTTTTTATTCAGTTTTACTTCATGTTTTTGAAAGACAGTACCATGTATTTCCATGAAGACATTTCTTTTATTCCTAACCAGAGCAGTTTCCCTTCATCTGGGCTAATATTTCCAGGTTTAAAAGAGGTCTGTAGAAATTCCAACATTTACTCTATAGCTGGTATTTGTAATCCAAATATAAAGGTCTTTACTTAGGAAGTGTGCAAGGCCAAGCAGAAGGCCATGGGACAATATTTTACTGTAGTCAAATTACATATTAGGCTACGGAAGTTGATTTCTTTTTCCTGAAACAAGCCCTAAAATTATCTATGTTTTACACAAAGTGGGCCTGATTCTGATCTACTGCCCAATGGTTTTTTTGATTCAGTTATTCAATAAGAATGGATATTGCTTGTATTTTACGAGACATGCTGGGATTGGATTAACTGCTTTTGCCTTTAAGTTGCTAGTTCTTCTTACATCACAGATATTTTAAACAGAATAAAAAGGCTTAGCATTGCGGAAAGTTTAAAGAGAGCCAGCAGACAGAAAGATTTGTTCTACATGTCTAAACAGAAACACTCATTGTATAATTGACTCACAGGCTTTATTTACATTTGTCTGCAGAATCATTTCTTCATTAAATGACTTAGTACATTTTATCTAAGCCAAATGAAACCATAATTTTCCTCAGAGTTGTCTGTAGCCTACCATTTGCTAAATTTAAAAACTTTTATCTAAGTACAGCAACAATTTTAATACAAAGCACAAGAATAAACCAAAAGGTAACATATCTTCTAATAGATCTGATTTTTACAATTTAGTAGGTAGACTTTCCTGAAGTCAGAGGCACAGTTAAAAGAGACTAACTGTTCTTGTGCAATCTAAACTACATTTAGCAAGGAAATCAGATATAAAAGAAAGTGATAAAGAAGTTGTTGCAGGGCAATTTTTTCTGCAAAAAGATCATCAAAATATTTCTACAACAAAAACATTTTGCTCTGTCAAATCAGTCCAAAAGGAACTTAAAAAGTCATTTTAAAAAAAAAGAAAAGCAGAATGTAATTTTGCTCCGTTTGTCTTGTGAAGTTCATTTTACAAAAGCAACTATCAAAGATGTTGAAAGTTTTACTACTCAAATAATTACAGATATATTGCTTTTTTGTTTTAAAAAACATTATTTTCCCTTAACATACTTACCTTGTGATGCCACTGAAGATAACTGTTAACACAAATCTTTCTTAACCAAACGGAGCTCAAGAATGACCAGGCTTTAATGTGATATTGCTAGTAAAACAAATTTCATAAAGCATTTTAAGCCATAAATTTTATAAAGTTTAGGGGGACAGTGATGATCTTTGATCACATTTATTTAGAAGCACAGATTTATCTGTATTTCAGGAGAACTTCTTATGCAGTTTATCTACCACAAGTAAAATTTACTGTGGAAAAAAATAGCTCTCTCCAGCCCAAATTAATCTTTGACTGGTGGCTTGCAGAGGCTTCAACCCTGTACTGTAACTCCAAAGAAACTAGTTTCATAAAGTCCCCCATCACTTCAAAAGTAGCTACATAATGTTGATTTTAGCATTATAAGTCCATACAAGACTGTCCCCTTTCTAAGAGAGGATCACAGACTTCATACACATGGAAATTAAATTGCACCCAGCAACCTACTGCAGAAAACAAGCTTTTCCTTGGCTGAGACAGGATCAAATAGGCTAAATCTCCATAGAGACTTACAGCTTTGAGATAGACCTCAGCTATGGAGAAGAGTGCTTAATGATCCAAAAAGCCTTCAAGCTGGGAGAAGGGAAGTCTCACCCACCCATTACAGAACCTAGTACTGGGTGCGGGAATCGGACGTCTGTACTAAATGTGAGAGAACTGCCACTCATCACAACTTTTGTTTAAATAGAGAAAAATTGGAAGCCTGGCCTAAACCCTCCCCATATGGGATACTTTAGCCTTAGAATTGTAGTAATTTCCTATGGTCCTAGCAAAAGTGCATCAAAGAAGCTCAGGAGCTGTTATGTGCAGGCAGCTTGCTTTTGGAGGGTGGGACTACACAGATCAACCTGTCTCCATTCACAGCTCAGGGAATGGTAAATAATGTAGTAGGTTGGAGCCCTAAAAATTAAAAAACAAACCAACCATGTGGTAGTACTACCATGTGGGCCCAATTATACATTGTTTAACAATACAAATATGCAACATCTGAGGAGATAAATGGAATAATGAAAAGTACACACCTACTCTGGGAAATTTATGGCTTAAAATGCTACCTTACTTTTTGTTTAATGAATGAATAAAGCTGCAGTTTCCCAGAAAGCAAGGACAAACATGCACTTCTACTAGCAGATTTAGCACTTCTGACCAAATAAGACACCAACTTCTTAAAAATATGCCTCATGCACTGGACTGGATTTTTTTTTTTTTAAATGTGAACTTTAATACATTATTTCTTTTTAGAACTTGTTCGGGAACCAGAATGGGAAGATCCAGATGACGACCTGCGGCGTCTGTAAGATACAAACAGAGAAAGCATGCAAAGAAATAAGTTCAAATTAATTTTATCACACACACCCACAATAGTTAGAAGACTAATTTATTTGATGGGCTAGTATATAAACTGAACATGTAAATAATCTGAAACCTTTTGTTTAGGCTCACTAACGTATTACACTTTTTAGTATTAAATTTACCACACTTCATATTAAATTTACAATTCCTTGATGTCACGGTATTCATTTATGAAAGTTAATCAAGCAATGGAGTACAGTAGACCCTTCAAACACTGAAACAATGGTTATCTAGGTCTTTTTCTATGGAACATGCTCCTAACAGGAGATTTTGCAAAGAAAGATTTTTTTTGATGTTTTAAAACGTTTATGTTTTAAAAAGCAGCATGGTAATTGGGAGAGGGAGGGCAGAAAACCTATTTTTAAATACCAAAATGAATAACTGATAAAATTCAATCCTTTCCCAGTTCATTTCATTTCTTCACAAAGTGTATTACACACATTTTAAATGCACCCATTCTTATTCTACATAAACCCAAACCTTTCGGGTGACCGTGATCTCGATCGTCTTTTTTTGCGATCACCGGGCGAAGAAGATCTAGAGCGACTCCGCTTCTTGCCTCTCTCAGGGGAAGATGATGAACGAGAGCTTGAGTAAGATCTTTTTCTTGGGGTTGAAGACCCCCTGTGGGACCTGGAGCTGGATCTTTATTGATTAAGAAATAAATTTGATTTAATTTGTGCATAATACAAAGAAGACAGCAAAAGTCTACTACAGAGTTCAGATCAAAGAACATTCAATACAAGATTTGCCACAACATGTTACAAAATGTATTTGTGGATATTTTAATACTTACTTCTTAGTCAACAGTCAATAAGAACTTCTACCTTAACAATAAAAATACTCATTTTTAAAGTAATGCTTTTGAAATATGGTATTGTGGACCAGTGGTTTGGGAGCTTGTTCCCAGTGTTCTCCAGAATTAAGCTTTTTTGTTAAACATATTGCAGGAGATTGGGATGAGAGACAGCCTACAAGACGACTATACTCGTGCTAAGTAGTACAGTCCATAAAGTGAGAGGTAGGAGAACTACAGATTTAACATAAGCTATTTTAAATCATGTTTCGCTCATATTCCATTGTGGATCATTAAACCAAGGTTACTTCAAAAATAAACTGCCTAAATCTCCATCTCCATCTTTGGAGATATTTAAGAGAAGGTTAGATAAATGTCTATCAGGGATGGTCTAGACAGTATTTGGTCCTGCCATGCGGGCAGGGAACTGGACTCGATGACCTCTTGAGGTCCCTTCCAGTCCTAGAATCTATGAACCTATAAAAAAAATTACTAAAATTGGAAGAAATCTCAAAAATGGCCATTCCCCCCACCCAAATTCGCCTATTTGAGTTTGCAAGATTTCTGCTAAACTGAAGCAATTTTAATAAACTAAAAATGTTAGCAAAATATCTTGCATGGCATTTCGTCATTTATGTTTACAAAAATCAGCTACTTTCTCATGAAAAAAAATCGTATTTGTGGATTTGAAAAGGTGATGAAGTCAGGAGGTCCTAAATTCTATTTCCAAGCCCAATGTTAAATCCACCAGACAAAGAGGATTTGGTGACAGTACTTTTTCAGATATCAAACCTGCAGAAACGTTTCACAATCTTCATTGTAAATAAAGTACTCACAAATGTTAAGTAATTTAATAGACAGGGAGGTCTGAAATCCCGTTTTTAAACCAATTTTGTACCCTAAAAATAACTTGTTCTGAACTTGTTGCTTCAGTATCAATGGGATGTCAAATAATAATTTGCTTTGTCTTTTATTACTTAACTTTATACCAGTTGCAATTCTCACTAGGCTAAAATTCAGACTAATGCCCAGGACAAATATAGCCAATATGGACATTGGGCAAATGGAGGGTGGAATGAGGGAGTAATCCTTCCCTCAGAGCAGCTAAAGAACTGTTTCATAAGATACATCCACACTGCACACCACTGGCTGCAGCATGTAGGGTAAGTGTAGCTCCATGCCACAGTGAAAAGCAGGATGCGTCCACACTGCAGAATGTAGCTACATGGGGCAGTGAAAGGCTCTGGCATGGAGAAGGCAGTGGGAACCTTTCCCCACTGCCTTCCCCCTGCCAGAGCCTTTCCCTCCTCCCAAAGTCTTTCACTGTGGTGGGGCAAGGGTCCAGCAGCTCTCTGCTGCTGGAGCCTTTCCCCTACTACAGGGAGTTGCTGGAGCCTCTCTGTCCACTGATGGAGTCTTCCCCAGCAGGGGAGGAAAGCTCCAGCAGCAGAGCCTTTCCCCACACTACACTGCTAAAAACAACAGCGTAGATGGGGAGGCAATGCTTTGGTGTGTAGAGAGCTGTGTAGAGTATATACTATGAGTGTCAGGTGTATCTTTATTTTTCCAAGCGTTCACTATCTACACTATTTATACTGTGGTCAGAGAGGTGGGGAGGGGAGTTCACATGCTGCTGTAAGATACCCACAGAGGCTGCATGGAGCATTCAACGGTTTTCTCTTTAGGAGATAATGGAATCCCTGCTTATATTCCACCCCTTAAATGAGGATACTCAAGAGGTTTGTGCTACACAAGGGATGCAAAACTAATTTTAGATGCCCTGCCCCACTTGTTTCACACCATAGGGGCCCTCTCCAGGAATGGAAAAAAGAGGTGGATTTGCATTCTACTGCAAAAACTTCTGTCAACAGGAAGCCTCAGTGAACTCATCACAAGGACTACTTGCTAGCTTTGGCTGCCATGCACAGTTCAACAATTGCTATACAAAAAGACCAGCTAAATCATCTTTAATGAGTATATCCAGAAAATCTGGACCAAGTCTTGCTTGCCTTGACCACATGTGAGTAATCTCAGACTTCACTGATCAATTACTCATGTAAGTAACCCACTGATTTCACATATTTCCCCCACGTTTACAATAAAGTTTCAACAGTTTTGTCTAATGGGGGATCACATACATTACCAATATATACAAAATAAGAGTATAGCACATCTTCTAATATTTCACACTTAATTGCCAGAGGAAACAGTAAATAAAGTTCCAAGAATTATTTTAAGCAAAAATATGCATTCAGATTCTCTTGCTTTGACATATTGCAGACATAGGGTTATCCACTTGCCTAGCTTTAGACCAGACTTTTAAAAATAGTCTCATAAAAAAAACAAACTTGCATTTTCAAGAATAATTATTTCATTTAATAGTGGTAACTCCTTGGAACACTGGACCTGGGAACAACTGACTTCCATGCTGAAAATGAGTTAAGTCAAAATAGTTTTTTAGAGAAACAAACAAGCAATCAGTTCTGCTACCCTTTTAATTTCTCTCTGCAAAGCAGAGAGAAAGCTACCTCATTCACCTTGATTTCGACCCACGAGATCTAGAATGTTCTCTGGAAGTGGAACGAGATCTTGATCTGGAACTGGAAGAGCTTCTTGAATGGGACCTGAAACAACATGGAGGATTTTTTCCAATACTTAACCAGCTTTATGAGACATGATTATTGTAAAATTACATCTAGAATTTTGATCATGCATACGAGCATCTGAAATACTAGTTCTTAATATTTGGAACTTTTCAAAAATTAATATTCATTTTCTTTCATAATTTGTTTTTAACAATATGCAGATGCAGCTATTTATTAAAGTACTTGGGCCCAGATTCATGAAAGACTATTTGGTCTTTAAAATTTTGCCAGATTGTACATTGGAGTTATTTATTTACTTTCAACTGTTGATAGATAATTCTAGTAAGAATTTCCAATATATAAGTTAAGGTTTTTATTAATGGCTTCCTATTAAGATATTTAAAGTTGTCATTAGAACTATTAGTTAAATTGTGAAAGCAGACAAAATAGGGTAGCAGTTATTTGGTAAAGTTAATAAAATAATTGCTTACCCTTTAACTATTTCATGAATCCAACCCAAATCTTGTAATTTGCACCTTAATGGGACACCATCAGCTTGGATTTTTAGAAGTGTATTAAATTAGGAGTCCTAGTATCTGATATAGTACTCCAAATACACTATCATGAACATTTCTTAAACAATGTATTTAAAAAGTGTCAAGATTTGTTATTCACTTGTTGATATTTACAAGGCTCTTTTCAGCAAGTGTGAAACTGCCTATAATCAGTCTCATTGTTTCCTCTGTATAAAAGGCACAATGCACACACAAGAGTAAATTTTTTTGCTAATTTACGGAAACCTCAGGCATTACTTGTAACTTTACAATGTTTTTAAACTAATGCAATTTTCAAATTGATGGTGTCTCCTTAAAATGCAAGCTGCAAGAGTACAGTACTACAAGTCTGGTATAATTGTAAATATTTTGAAGAGAAGACATGGCAAATCAAATTTTAATAACCTTTTCTGGCACTATTTGGTAAATTAATTCCGTAACTCCCAATAAATATTGTTACCAATGTCTCTATTTCATCATATTATGCAGAACAAGAATAGCCTGCACTTTTATTTTTAGCAAGATAAGATTTAGGTTTCTAAAAAACAAAAACTTCAAGGAGAACTCAAAACCCTTTGAACACACATTTATGTTTAATTAAATGAAGACTCAGCCCAATGTTGTGAATATGTATTGAAGTATCCATGAGAAGATTCCACCCAAAACTGGGAAATCCCAGGAAACACAAAATAAATTAAACTACTTTTCATCAACTTTGAGGGTTGTGAATTTATGTTTGACCCTTCATCTGAGCTGACTGTAGTTTGTATTATTTTTTTAAAAATATGACAGAATCTTATTTGCATTCCAGTAGCTCCCATGCAGTGGGTGCAGTTCACACAGGATGACACAGTCCCTGCCTCACAGAACTCAGACTCTAAGATGAAGGGTGGAAGAAAAGAGATGAAACGTACACCTCTACCCCGATATAACGCGACCTGATATAACACGAATTTGGGTATAACGCTCGTGGGGGGGGGGGGGGGGGGGGGGGCTTCGCGCTTCAACAGATCAAAGCAAGTTCAATATAACGCAGTTTCACCTATAACGTGGTAAGATTTTTTGGTTCCCGAGGACAGCGTTATATCGGGGTACAGGTGTACTATCAAAATGTGGTTTTTGATAAAAAAATTGGCAAGTGCCAATCAGCTCTGCCAATAATATTTGGTTAGCTTCTTGTAGGCACTCTAACCTATGGAGGCATTTCAAGGAAAGGATAGTGATCTATGGATCTGTTCATGGAGGGCATTCTGTATAGAAGAAACTTTATGAAGTGGAAAAGGGGAATTCAGTAGAGGGTTCAAAAAAGTCAGGCAAGGATGGTGCACTTAGCAAATGAGTTTTGAATGGAAGGTGCAGGGGCAATGTGCTGTCATGTAGGCCAAGTAAAACATTTAATATACACATTCTAACAAAAATGAAAAAGGAAAGCTAATTTTCACATATTTGAAATCCTGGCCACTTCAGAGACAAAAGCAAAGTGTGCCTCACTTACCTTAAAGTCTGGCAAAATAGCTGATATTTTAAAGAGAGAAGCAGTTTAAGTGTAAAAAAAAAATTTTTTTTTTTTTTTTACTCCAAGAACTTGAGACCATCCTAATGGATTTTTCTGCAGGTGCAAATTCTCCTAAATCAAGAGGCTATTCACCAAGTTTCAACTTCGGCAATTTATTATGGTCAAATTATAAGCTTCCTCCTACAATAACTAATTCTTAGCTATACTACTACCAGTTAGATATCTATGTGTTAATCTTACACATTTGTTAGTATTAAGGAGCTTAAGAAATAGAGAATTTTTTTTTTAAACCAACTAATAAAATGATGTGTTTATTAAATGGTTGGTTCACTACTGATTTGAGAATAAGCTTTTCTGTGTTCTCGATAAATGTGCAAATTAGAGTTTTTATCTGGCCTCACTGAGACCCATGTAGACCCTGCAAACTCTTTAACTCAGTTAAGATCATCTTCCTTGCCTGATGCTCTAACCACATCATAATCATCTTAATCCCTCCATTGACTTCCCCTTTTCTACCACATGAAACTCAAGTTTATCATCTTCACCTTCAAGGCATTTTCCAATAGTGACCTTCTACTTTATCTGCTCTGATTGCATTACCTCCTACTTTACTATTCCCGCTTCCCAGTTTATCTTCTTTTCTCCCAACAATCCTCAGTACTTCCAAAAAAGCATCTAACATTAAATGCGACTACTCAACAGCAAGCCAAAAGGACTACAATTAGTTTTGAAAACATGCTAGCTTTCCTGTTTTTATAAGCCACATTGGTTACAGATACAGCTGAAACATTAACTCACCGAAAGCAAAGTGACAAACTAAAAGAAGCCCTCACTTTTAAAACTGTGGCGCTACAAAAGGCCACTATAAAAATGTAATCTACCTGTGTAAACTGAATATATAAAACTGTCACATTATTAACTGAAACTATAAAAGTCAATCAAGAAAAAAAGATGTAAATAAAGAAGTTAGATACTGACATTTTGCCTGGCGTTACCCTTGACCTGTACCCGTTTACCTTGACCTAGACCTTGAGCTTGAGTGGGAGGATGAGCGCGATGAAGATTGTGAGTGGGAAGATCGAGATTTAGAGCGACTGCGCCTGTTGGTTTTCTTTTTCTTATTAGCATCTTCTTCCTCACTGGCATCAAGATTATACTTTGAGAGATCAGCCTCATCTTCATCCTCATCCTGAAAAAATGTAGACTGTTAGTTAGGTGTGGAGACTTAAATATGAAGAAAATATGCAGAAAGCAGGATTACATTTTAGACTGTTTTCATTTGGAGTAGTTTTTACTTGCTCTTGTTCTGTACTTTATTTGGAGCTTATGCCAATCTTTACAAATCCGTTTTTTTAGTTCTCTTTTGTTAAGATAACAAAAAAATCTCAAGCATTGAGTGCAGCTTGTTAAAAATCAAATAGCTACATAAAAATAATTTCAGAAACAGCAATAAAATAGGACTGAAAAAAGTGATCCTCAAAAACCTGCAGAATGACTAAATAATTAAAAAGTTAGGTAGTGAATTATAATGCCAGCATTTGTATTACAGTTCAGTGACTGTCTTAAAAAAATGAGACACAGCTTTATTTTGGGCAGATGTCTGGCAGAAGACTCAGGCTCAGAGGAAGTCTATCCCATTACCAAACTTAGGTCCAATTCTGCAAATTCCTCACATACTTAACTTTACACTCTGAGAAGTCCCACTGATTTTGTTGGTCAATGTGTAAAAGTAAACATGTGCACAAGTCTTTTCATGATCATGGCCCAAAAGGAACAACTAATATTTAACAATCACTATGTATTAAAAACAAAACTGCAGATCAGGAAGATATTTATTTCAATTTTATAGCTAAAAATAAAGCCAGCATCATTTAACAGAAGACATCTGGAACATGTCTAGTCCATGTTGACATTTATTTTAGATATTTTGAAAACATCAGAAATAGTGCAGCAGTAGGTAATTCAAAAAGATGTTAGTGTGCATTTTCACCATAATCTACTGGATCTACCTATTAAGACAGCCTATATAAACATATATTTCTTACAATGATTAATTCTGTTCCCAACGTTAAAATATAAATGTAAGTTTAAGTGATAAGATTCTGACCGCAGTCATTCAAAGCAACAAATACAGAGTTTAGGCTGACAAACTCTCCTTAGCTCATGCATTCTTCCAGTACACACATATCCCACTCCAATACGCATACAGAGGTTAGGAGAGTGTATCATTCTTACTTATAACTTATGTATTGTATAACAATACCGATTTACAAGCAGCTAAGAATTAAGGCCAATCTCACTTAGTAAGAACATAGTACGTCAGCAGTAACAAAGAACAAGAATTATTTTACCTCATCCAATTTATACTTGGAAAGATCTTCATCCTCATCCTCCTCTTCTTCCCCTTCAGATTCCTTATCTTCTACTTCCTTCAGGATAGATGCAGGCCCAACTGGCTTCCCTCTGTATTTTTTCTTTTTGCGACCAAACTAATTGCAAATAAATAATGTGAGTGACACATGCTTTGTTTCCGCCCACTCCAACACAAGTAATACTAATTACAGTATATTAAACAAGCAGCCGCCTACTAGCTAACATGAAAAGACTATAATGAACTAAGACTTTTGTAAGACTCGTGGGAAAAAGTGAAAAATAGTAAAAACAACTTTAATTCAGGGCTTTGGAGTGGAGCCCGGAGCTGGAGCGCGGAGCAGCTCCGGAGCAGTGGAGCTGCAGGTTTTTGCCTGGAGCCGGAACACAGTTCCAAAGCCCGGCTTTAATTACAAATAAAAAAATATATTGCTATGTGTGGAGACAGAAAAGGCAAATTTCTACCATGAAATCTTAGTTGAATGACCAAAAAGTACTCAGCAAAAACCTACTGTAGATCTAAAATGAAAGACATATCACAATGTCTATATTCTGATAAATTCATCAAAAATGTGGATGCAATCAAACAGTATGTGCTTTACAAGACTGCTTTATAAAGACTTCAGTATATTTGGGAAGCAGTATGAGCACCCTAAAGAAAATAGCATAGGAAATCTAAAGCAGATCTTGTAAGCAGTTAAACTAATGAAACATAAACCACAGTTAACTCCTACCAATTTAAATTTTAACTGGTTTTTAGAAGTTTACCCCCACAACTTTCCAGATTCAACACCAATTCTGCTTCACATATGAATTGGCAAAAGCCGTAATTCAAAAGATTTATACAGCTAGCTTCCCTCACCCTGAGCCTGGGTGGCTGAGGCTTGGTCTACACCTAAAACTTAGGTCAACGTAGCTACATCACTCAGGCTGTGAAAAATTTGATGCACAGAGGGATGTAGTTAGATCAACCTAAGGTAGTTGCAGCAAGGTCAAAGCTTGAACCCCACTATTGATAGCAGCTAGGTCAATGGAACAATTCTTCTGTGGATCCTAGCATCTCGAGGGGGTGGATTTACTACAGCAACAGAAAACCCCCTTCCATCGCTGCAGGAAGTGTCTATACTACAATGGCATAACTGCAGCTGTGTCCATTGTAGTGCTTGCAGCGTAGATATACCCTGAGTTAGTTTCTCAAGCCAGGCGTCCCTGCCAGATATGTGCTCTTAACACAAATCTCTTCACTTTAACTTATGTTCCTCCAATGTAATAATTATACATAATCTTACCTCATCATACTCCCCATCTGATTCTTCACGTTCTATATACTCAACATTCTCTCTTTCATTAAAACCTCCTCCATATCCTGCAAATTGTAAAATAAGAATGTACGAGATAACCTCTTATATTGTGTAAATTCAATTACACCAAATACAAAGTCTTTGGTAAATGCTTTTATTATGCTACATCTGATTAAAATCCAATAGAAGATGTTTCTAGATGTATAAGCTATCATGAAACCTATACTAGGAATGTTAAGAAATCTGAAGGGAAGTAGACATTAAACTGTTCTCACACAAGTGTATCAAAAATAGTTTTTACATATCTAATTGAGAAACTGAGGTAACCTTTGCTAAATTAAAGAAATACATCCCACTGCGACTGTTTAGCTAATTAAGGGCCAAGTGTCACAAAGGAGACATAATCAGGCTGCAAATGTCCAGCAGAAAATCCCTCTTGTGTAGGAGAACACCCTGCTGAAGCATCTGAGCTGCAGCCAGACCCTGCCTCTCCTTCTGACCCACAGGGCATGTCAGGGCAGAGAGGGCTCTGTTCCACCACTGCCATACTTCCATGATGTAGGGTCCATTATAGCCCATAACACAGAAGTGGAATTTAATACTCCTTGCTAGCAGTTTTAAGTTGAATACGATCAAGAGTGGGCCTGAGAATCAAGAAGCTGAAACAGACTCCCTGACACTCTATAGATTTGCCAGGCAAATTTGGCATGGGAGATAATCTAGTTCCCCAAAAAACATTTTTTTGCACGTTTTGTTTAACCCTACATTTATAGGGTGATTTCAGAAGGAAAGCAGAGGAAAAGGGAATATGACTGAGTTGACATTTCTGCTTCAAGCACAATTTCTGCTACAAGCACATTTCTGCTTCAAGCACAATTTTGTTACTGCTTTTTGTTGCATACAGGAAATATTTTATAAAGTGAAGCCTTAAGGTTATTTATCACATTCCATTTGAAATGATTGCTAGTAAACACATTAAAATTGCCCCTTCAATGGTATATACCCAACTATCATAACAAACTTGAACTTCCATTAAACTCCTCATTCTTCATTGCTCGTGCCATTTCCAAAATAACTGTTCTTGCCATTTGAAGTCATAGCAGATATTTTGACACAACAAATATCACTAATGCCGCCGAATATAGCCCCGCAAAAAAGAGAATGACGACTACAAAGGGGGAATAATTAGCACACACAAAAAAATGAACTTTTAAAACAGAGATCCTTTCATTCAAGTATCCTTAGTAAAAAAGACATTAGTGAGCCATCCTTCTCTTCCCAAACCTGATCAGAATGGCTTCTACAGTGAATGTTTTCTATAAGGTAGCAACACATTTAAAAAAATTCTCAACACACAAACCCAACATGTATTTTGTTCAACTGTTTAGAGTCCGCAACATATTTCACCATTTCTGAATATCTGCTGGGAGCTCAGAACTACTTATTTTAATTTTCAACTTTAATTTCAGCTATAATTTATAGTTATTTGTAAGTAATAAAAATGCATTGTGCTACATGTACTTTCAATATATACGACTGGTCAACATGACTGTTAGTTTATTTTTAGGAATAAATAGAATAAATAGAATTGTGGAAGAAATAGAAAACTGTATTTTGTACTTTTCTCTATGAGGAATAAATTAAATTCTGTGCTTCTAATTTTAGAAGTGACAGAATACTAAAACAGATTAATTCCCTGACCATGTAACACTTATTGGGCTTGTCTACACAATTACAATCCAATCAGTTCCAGTTACAACATGGTTGCAACCCTGACCTACTTATAATATGGTTCCATTTTGTAATGCAGATGGGACTTTATTATATCCGAAACATGATTGTAACCTACTACTGACTTATAAGTCTAGTGTAGATGGACTCTATGGCTACATATCAGAAATTCAAAATTAACATCTTCTGAGCTTAAACATAATCTGTTGGAAATTTATTTAAGAATTTGTTTTAATACTGTATCTTCATGAAAACTGAGAAAGTGGTTTAAACTGAATGACCTTAGAGGATTTCCTGAGGTGAACCACTATCACACTTGTACTTTACATACTAGTAATATTTAGCACATATATAGACTTACAAGGATGGGATATGCAAGAGGAAGACTAGGTAGCATTGCTATATGCCTATTAAAAATGACCACTTGATTTAAGTTATGTTATGATTTCTAAAGTTTATGAAGAGAACTGAGTATTTAAAAAAGCAAATTTATCTTACCTGTCCTTTCCTCCAGTTTTGCATACTTTGGAGTATTACACATATTACACTCTGATCTCCTGGCCCAGTTCACATTGCCACAACTTTAGTGGGGGAGGGAAAAGAAAGTAAGTGTAAAGATGCAACATTTTATTTCAAGTTAAAGAGCTTGGGAATTAGGCAACATGCTCCAGAAAAGAATGAAATCAATTGATATTGATTAGCTGTGGTTTAAATTCACTACTAAACAAATAGGTAATTGTAACATCATCAGGCCCCACTCTTGCAGTACTTATGTACACACAACTCCCAGAAAAGTCTATAGGAATTTTGCCAGCATAAGGATCACATGCATGAGTCAAGTCGTCAGCCCCAAGAGAGGCACAGCTATGATCAAGCTTAAAATGCATATATATGCACATATCTATATCATATTATAGTAATAAAATGGCATATATTTGGGCATAAAAGGAACTTTCACATCATAACTGTACAAAAGTCATTTTTACCTGTCACTTTTTTTCAAGGGTTCTATATATATTGGGGAAAGGTGCTTGGCTTATTTAAAAAAGGCAGTAGAGATGGAAGAAAACAGAGGAAGATTGGAAAATAGTGGGAAAAGGACAAGAATTAGAGGGTGAAAAATAGGAGCGCATGGATGCAATCTGTAGGAACACAGGGGCAAGTGCAAGTTGTAAAGTTGAAATTTGACATAAACGTCAACTAGAATTCTATTAGCATTTTCTAGAGATGGAAAAATATTCTAATAAGTACAGGTTTCAGAGACTGGAAATTTTATGTAGATTAACAAAGACTGAATTCATAAATCAAAAAAAGAGGGTCTCAGGAGATACGAAGCTCTTCGTAAAATCAGGGTATCAAAAAAAAATCTGTTTCCATAAAAGTTTCAAACAATACAAGTATTCACATGTGGAGTTTGTGGAAAAACATAATTTCGCTGTACTCTGCCCTTCTTTCGCACCTTTTGAAACTTCACAAAGTCACTATGAAGTAAGTTTTATTCTCCCACCCCCACCTCTTTTTTTAAAAGATCCACACACACAGTAGCCTGTGATGTGAAGTAACTTGCCTACAATCACACAGGAAGTTTTTCACTCAGATCAGGAACGGAACACATACTTTCAATCCTGTGCTATAATCAAAAGACCATCCTGTCTGTCCAAAGTCATATTGATTAAATATTTGTTGTCCAGAAAAAAACTAAATGAAAACTAATCTAATGTGAAAACATACAAAACCTATTTTAAAAAGTATTTCTTTCCCAATTTCTCTTGCCTACTCACTAAAAGCCACATTGATTCTGACTGAGTTAAATATCCAAGATACAAGACCTTTTAGTCAATTAAAAATGTTTATGGCAGGAATAATATTAAAGTTTCAAAACCAACATACGTTTTACATTGCCAATCATTAGCACTGAACAGGCCACGGCTCTTTTCAGCAAGCGTCTTCCCTATTTCAGTCCCTCCAGCTTTCATCATTTTGGCTTCAGTTGTTTTTTCTGAAAATAGATTCAACGAAATAATTTTCAAAAAGTTTCTTATAGATTGAACATTTCATTCTTTTGGGGGGAATATGAGAGAAGGGAAATCTAAACTGGAAAGATAGTCACCTCGACCACATCTGTTACAGCTGGTTCTTCTAGCAAAATTAACATTTCCACACCTGAAAAAAGAAATATATTCTTATGAAGGGCAATTAACAGTTTTTTTAAAATGGGGAGAGGATAAAGATGATAGCAATTAATATTTGGAAAATGTTTTGAAGATGAAAAATCCTATAAAGTTTTCTTTGTTTTGCAAAATGAATCATGACATTTTCCCAGCTTGAACGATTTTAATGTTGGTAGTTTAATTTTTGTAGTTAAAATAAAACTGCTCTAGAAATTCAAAGAAACTTTAACAGTGACTTTTTGTTTTCTAACCTCGGAAATAAATTAGCTGTTTGTAACAGGGCGGTTAGTTTTCCTTTTGTTGTACAAATACACATTTCAGACCAGCAAAAAAAACAAAGGCCGCTGGCAATTTTATTTTGTCAAGATTCTACTGCTTCACAGTAATAGCACTAGGCCCTTCATTCAGGGCTTTGGAGCAGAGCACGGAGCTGGAGCGCAGAGCAGCTACGGAGCTGTGGAAAGGCAGGTTTTTGCCTGGAGCTGGAGCACAGCTCCAAAGCCCTGCCCTTCATTAACCGTAAACATCCGGCAAAAGTTGGCAAATATTTTGTATTTAATAAAGCACCCTGGGTAAATATTTAACTTTTCTTATTAAATGTTTTCTCAAACATACTGGAACCTAACGGAAGACTTATAAATAAGACAGAAGGATTGTTGGGTTTCATTGCAGATTTTAAGTACCCTGTACTCCTATAGCCATGTCATTTTCCAGTTTACGGTTCTGATTCTGCAGTGTTTCTGCTCGGGCACACCCCTGCACCTACAGAGCCCTACCGACACCGACCGGGCTCTGAGGTGCACCCACGGGCCCGGGTGCACCCCCGCAGAACACGTTGCGGGATCAGGCCCCATTCGCTTTCTTTGCAGTGTGTGGTGCAGAGCTGCCATCGTGTCACCGCCCCGAGAGCGAAGTGACCCTGGGGTGCAGCCAGCAGAGTAGTTGAGCCTCCCGGGCGGGGAGGCCTTTGAGTTGAAGGGCGCTGCTCTAAAGGGCGTTATTCATATGTCGGGCCCCCCTAAACCAGCCTGAGGCAGCAGAGATCCCCGCCGGGAGAAGGCGCTAAGGGGCAGGGACCTCCCCCACCATCCAGCCGTTGCCCAGCGGCCTATGGCCCCCGGAGAAGCAACAGCCCCGCAAACGGCGCCTCCTGTGCCCTGTAGGAAGAAAACTCGAGGACCTTGAGCTCCACCGAACCCCGCGCCCCGGGAGCCCTGGGGCCCCGCTCCCCGTCCATGGCGCCCCGCGGTCCGCACCCCCCGTCCATGGGGCTCCCGGGCCCCCCTCACTTCTTGTCCGGGCAGATCCAGTCCCCGTCGCTGACTCGGAAATTCTTCGTCGACATCTTGGCCCACCGCGTCCAGAGCCAAGCGGCGCGGCACGGCACAGTAGGACCGGGGTCCTGCGTCTGATGGGGCTGCCTCGTAGCGCCTGTTTCCCGCTATCAGCCACCACAGTGTCGGCGCGCACAGGGCCCGGCCCTGCCCGAGGCAACGCGCCGAAGGGCAGCCGTGCGGCGCGGATTGTAATCAGGCATTGGAACAGACACCCTGCCCGGCCGGGAACGGGAGGTGGCGCGGAGAGTTCCCCCTAGGGGCCGGAGGACCCCATCGGAGGGAGCGGGGCGGGGCTGAGGGTTGGAATGAGAAGTGGCGGAGGGAAGCAAAGGGAGAGTGTGGAGGAGGGCGGGGCGGGGGAAAGGGGAGGGATGTGGGGGGAGCAGGAGAGAGCGGGGTGCGGGGGGGGTGACCATATTTCCCAAATTGAAAACGGGATTCCGAGGTGCCCCCTCCCTCACGAGGCTATTGCCTCTCCACTGCCACGCTGCCTCCCCCCCCCCCCCCCCCCTGCCCTCCCCCCCCCCGGGGGGGGGGGGGGGGCTGCTCTGATTCCCCCCCCCCCCCCCCGCCCATCACACGTTGCTCCGCACCACACCCAACTTTTTTGACAAAAGTGAGCATTTGTCCCGTTTGCTCTTGCCAACTGTCAGCAAGAGCAAACCAGACAAATGCCTCCTTTTGGAAAAAAAAGTCAGGACCGCCAGGACAAGGCTTAAAAAAGGAACTGTCCCTGCCAAAACTGGACGTATGGTCACCCTCGGGAGAGGGAGAGAAAGGGGCTGGGCTGAGATCAGACATGCTGGCCGGTGCTGGGAGCAGTGCTACATGATATGGAGATGCATACAGCAACCATAGCCACAGCCCACCTAGCTCAGGGATCCCAGCACTGCTAACAGTGCTGTAATTGGACTGGTGATGGCAACAGTAGACATTTTTATGAAAGTTTCTGTAGTGTAACGAGAGCCAAAGTGTCTGGGCCAGATCCTCAGGTAGCATGAACTGGTGTCACTGGATCTTCACTGCTGCTTGGCTGATTTATACCAGCTGAGGGTCCAGCTCTCTGATTTTTTCTGTTGCTGTCCAGTTCCCAACACAGAACCAAGTCAAACCAGCCTACCCCAGGCTTGCTAGCTCCTTCCCTGTCTGTATCTGCTCTAGCCCTTTGTTCATGATGCAGTGTGAGAAAGCTTAACTGTCCACCTTCACCATACAGGAATTTGTTGCAGCCCACTAACATGTCCTCCGGAGCCATCTTTTGGGTCCCAACAACCAGAGCCAGCAACACAGAGGAGTCGCTACCATTTGAAGAACTCTTGGGCTTTCACTCCTGTCTCAAGAAACGTGCAGAGCATCCAGGAGACACTGGTGGACTTTGTTTTCTGACCTACTGAAGGCACCTGTCAGAGGAGGAGGATGATACAGGAATGTCAGACTCATGCTGCTCATGACTCTCATTATAGACTCAAAGACTCAGGCTTTAATTCCATCCACTCCTGTAAGAGACCCATAATCTCAGTCTGAGTTACTGAAGTCTTCAAATCATGATTTAAAAACTCCAAGTTACAGAGAATCCACAATTTATTCTAGTTTAAACCAATAGGTGAGCCAGGCCCCATGCTGCAGGAGCGGCGAGTTATATGGGCCCGTTGTGCCCGTGTTCCAGGGCCCAGTTTCACCAATGTTTGGGGCTGGGTCTCTCCCCTGGCCCCGCCTGCCACCCCATGGCAATTTAAAAGGGCCTGGGGCGCCGTAGCCGCCACCACCAGCAGCGCAGTGGGGTTAAGGCAGCTTCGTGCCTGCCCTCGCTCTGTGCCACTCCTGGAAGTGGCTGGCACGTCCCTGCGGGGGGACGGTGGGGGTGTCTCCGTGCGCTGGCCCCACCCCGAGCACCAACTCCGTAGTTCCCATTGGCCGGGAATTGCAGCCAATGGAAGCTGCGGAGGCGGTGCCTGCGGGCAGCGGCATGTGGAGACCCCCTGGCCACCCCGCCTAGGAGCTGCTGCCAGAGGGGTGTTTGGGTCGCTTTCAGGAGCCGCTGAGGTAAGTGCTGCACCCCTCACCCCCTCCTGCACCCTAACCCCCTTCCCCAGCCCAGAGCCTGCATCCCTCACCCATACTCCCTCCCAGAGCCCGTATCCCTTCCTGCACCCCAACCCAGAGCCCCTCTTGCACCCAAACTCCCTCCCAGAGCCTACACCCCCTCCTGCACCCCAATCCCCAGCCCAGAGCCCACACCTAAACTCCCTCCCAGAGCCCTCACCCCTCCCACACCCAAACTCTCTCTGAGAGCCTTAGGCAGGTATGTGTGTGTGGGGGGGAGCGGGACTTGGACCCCTTTTGGGCACCACCAAAAATTATACAAACCTGCTGCCCCTGCCATGCTGCAGAGGAAGGGGAAGAAAAACAAACCCCACTTAGGGTCTCTGCCAATCTGTCCTGGGGGAAGATTCCTTTCTGATCCTAAATATGGTGATCAGTTAGACTCTGAGCATGTTGGCAAGACCCACCAGAAGACACCTGGGAAAGAATTCACTGTAGTATCTCAGAGCCCTCCCCATCTAGTGTCTCATCTTCAGCTGTTGGGGATATTTCCTACTAGCAGTTGCAGATGGGCCACATGCCATTGGGGGCAATCACATTATACCATTCTCTATAAATTTATCAAGCTCAGTCTGGAAACCAGTTAGGTTTTTTTGCCCACACTGCTCCCCTTGAAAGGCTGCTCCAGAATTTTAATCCTCTGGTGGTTAGAAATCTTCATCCAATTTCAAGCCTAAACTTGCTGCTGGTCAGTTTACTTCCATTTGTTCTTGTGTCAACATTGATGCTTAACTTAAATAACTCCCCTCCCTTACTGGTATTTATCCCTCTGATGTATTTGTAGAGAGCAATCATATCTCCTCTCAGCCTTTGTTTTGTTAGGCTAAATTGATCCGAACAGATCTTGAGCTGCTCTAGTTTGTTTCCTTAAGCGCAGCACTGAGAACATTGCTTTGCCACCATTGACTGAAAATAGGAGAAGAACTGAAATAAAAGTAACTAAATTGGTAAGAAATGAGGTGGCAGTGGTAGACCATAACGTTAAGGAGCGTAAGTTAACAATTAAGCATATACTAAAGAAATAGGTGATGGTTTATATTTTAAAGTTTGGTAATTTAAGTGTGTGTACAACGTTGGCACACAGCCAAGGTCAGTGAATTGGCAATTTAAGCAGGTTAGCCTATAGCTAGTGTGTTGGTAGGCAGATGTGGACCAAGGTTAGGTAAAGGTCATACCAACACTGCAGAGAGGGGTGAGTCATGCATGCTCAGTCCAAAACTAGGTGAGGGTCACCATCCCATAATAGTAAACATCCTATAATACTAAAACTTGTGTAACAGCTTTGATTGACAGCTAGATTTTGCAGTTGTGATTGGTCTATAAGTATGGACCAATCAGCAAGGGGTTAAAGATGATTGGAGGATGGATATGCGAATGATAGGATTGAGAAGCCAATCAGAATAGGCCAATAATTGTATAAAAGACAGAAAGTAAGCAGGTAAAAGTCAGTCAAGTCAAGAGAAGAAGGAGAACCAAATAAAATCAGAAGAAACCTAAAGACTGAAGGAATCAGAAGCAGCAGAAGCAAAGGGTGACAGCAACAGCAGCAGTGCTGTTGGGACAGAGCAGAAGGACCCTAACAGAACGGAGGGAGAGAAGCCTACAGAGAATAAGCATGCTAGCTATAGTATAACTTATAGAATAGATATAGGGTTAAGAATGTGCATACTTAAGATAATAAAGATGAGTGTCTGTGGTGTGCATGTTTGTTACTATGTATAAAATTTAGAGTTTATTAAGATTACTGCCAGTGTCCTGCATATGACCGATCACCATGTGCAGAACATAATCACTTAAGCCATTCCAACTGTATAACATTACAGTATTGAGTACTTTATCTTGTATACCTGTGCTAAGGGATTTATGTTTAGATTAATTGTATTAGGAAAGATTGGTTACATTGAATAAAGAAAATAATTTGTTTTGGAAAAGTACTGCTTGGGTGTCAATCCTTTGAGCAGAGGGCTGTATCCATGTCCTCACAGGGGTGAACAGATCTAATCTGTTCTTGGGAGTTTCCTGAAGGCATAGGAAGATCCTTGGTAAACCCTGGCAATTCTACTAGGGCGGGCCCCCTCCTTTCACCTTGCAGGAACAGATTAATAGGTCAAGATCTTGAGAACCCAGATAAGCAATAGGAGGTCTACTCTGGGATCCCTGAGTCTATTCTTGGAGTAACAAAATAAGCTCCTTAAATCTCCTCTCATAAGGTAGGTTCTCCATTCCTCTGGTTATCCTAGTAGCAGTGGTGCAAGTAAGCCGGTATGGTCAGCTATGCCGTACCATTAAGACTTTTATTGCCAGTACGCCGTACCAGAAAGACACATTTGGTATCTGCTGAACACTGCAGGGCTCTCCTGGGAATTGCAGTGGCGAAAGGAGCAGAACATGGGGCTGCCGGGTGGCCCCACACCGGCAGCTCCTCCGGCACAGCTGTACCACTCGCAGCCCCATCCCTAGCCTTGTCCTCCAGCAGGGCTGTCCGGACCCCAGACAGGAGATGCAGCTGCCTGGAAGGGCTGAGGATGGTACAGCCATGCCAGAGGACCTGCTGGTGTGGGGCCACACTATGGCCCCACATTCTGTTCCTTTCACCACTGCGATTCCCGGGAGAGCCCTGCGATTCAGTGGATACCAATTTCTATCTGTGGATATCCGCATTCGCGGGTATAAATTTGTATCCACGCAGGGCTCTAGTTAGGGAACATTTTTTGTGAGAGGTGTGGTGACTGGTGGTAGGGACACAAAGGGTCAAGTGCCCCTCTCCAGGCTCAAGTGCCCCCGCCGGCCCAGGCAGGGAGTGGAAGGGGCAGGGCCAGCCTGGAAGGCTAGAGCCTCTCCTCTTCCAGCCATGCTGCCTGGGATGCTGCCCTGTGCAGTGCAGCAGCTGCCTAGGAGAGCCAGGCACTCTCCCAGGTAGCTGCTGTGCTGCACCAGGCAGCATCCGGGAGTGGCTCAGGAGCCTGGCTGCCAGGAAGAGCAGCCAAATGCCAGGGGGAGCCGGCGCAGTGAGAGGACAGAGCTCCTCCTCCCACCTCCCC